CAGCAGCCGATCGGATCGCAGCTCTGACGTGTCATGTTTGTGTCTGAGCAGCAGCCAATGAGATCGAAGCACTGTCAGACGTGTCATCACTGTGTCCGCCGGTACGACCATCACTGTCCGTGGATCGAGAACTGCGTCGGAGAGAAGAACCACCGCTGGTTCGTTCTGTACCTGGCAGTCCAGCTGCTGGTTCTGCTGTGGGGTCTGCACATCGCCTGGTGAGTATGGGCCTGTTGGGTCAGGGGTCAGGGCTCGGATCAGGGCTCACAGATGTTCTGCTCCCTCAGGACGGGCTTCGGTTTGGCCCCCGGCTTGTCTCTGTGGCTGTGGTCCAACGGGGTTCTGCTGACGGTCTTGGTGCTGCTGGTTCTGCTGGCCCTCATCGTTCTGCTCCTCCTCGGGTCCCACCTGTATCTGATCTCCCTGAACACCACCACCTGGGAGTTCATGTCCCGCCACCGCATCTCCTACCTCAAACACTGCGGCGTCGACGAGAACCCGTTCGACCGTGGGACCCTGCACAACCTGTGGGGGTTCTTCTGCGTGTGGGGCACCATGGTCTGGGAGCAGGTCTACTTCAGGGAGGCTAGCGACCCAGTTTAGGGTTTTATTTGGGTCCTGAGGGATCAGGTTCTAGGATCTGCTCTTCCAGGGAACCAGCCGTTCATCCTTCAACTTTACTTTACTCCTGGGACAGGAAGCTGGTCCAGTTCCTCAGCAGACTGGGTCTTCTCCGAGTCAGAACCTAGTCCTGAACCAAAACTGATAACACGATGAAAACCTCCTGGATCAGACTCTGGAACCCTGAACAGAACCGAGCAGAGAACATGAAGTGAGTCCTCTGATCATCTAATAACTGGACCCGGTCGGACAAGTTCTGTAAACTGTAAAAACCAGCACGGCACCAGGATCCGGTAATGGACCCGTGAACATCATGTGTTGGAACCACCATTTTCATTCTGATGGCAGCAACATGGTGGATTAGTGGTCAGCGCCGCCTCACAGCAAGAAGGTCCCGGGTTCAATCCCCAGTCTGGAACTGGGTTCTTTCTGTGTGGAGTTTACATGTTCTCCCAAAGTCCAAAACCGGCAGGTTAAGCTGCCTTCAGGTTCAGGACTTGGAACCAAGATCTGGTATCAGAACAAGATTTACGGTCAGAGGTCTGGACCAGAACCAGCTGGAGGAACGTTCAGTAACTAATGAGGTTGATTATCAGCAGGAGACCTTTAGAAATGAAGATGGGCAGAGGTTCAGAGTTCTTTATTGTCATTCACATCACATGTGGTACACGAGGTGGGATGAAACCGTGTACACAGGGTCCCAGTTCCATCCAACAAGCAAAAAGAAACGGTATAAAGGATCCAAGATATTCACCAAAGCCCTGTTCACATGGGATTAGTTTTACCTAGGGACCACATGTAATAATTACAGAGATTGTCTGTTAATCCCGTGTGAATCTGCCATGTCAGTAATGTGTAAAGTAACAATTCCCCCGCACGTTACCTGCTATATTTAGCTGAACTCCGAGGTCCTGTGACCAGACTGGTCCAATGTGAACGGGCGTCTCTGTGCAGGATCGGATACGTAACGAGGCGTTTTGTTTTTGTTTAAGCAAAATCATTTGTAAAAATATAGAACAAGACTATTTTAAATGAACGCGCCGCTCGAGTCAGCTTTTATTCATCGTTTTTTATTGTTTTTTACTTTTTCGCTTCGGCTTTTATGAGCTGCTACTTCCTTCATCGCAGATGGCGGGAGGTGCGGAACGCGTGCGTGCAGCTGACCCATCCATCCATACCAGCTTCTTCCTTTTCGGGTAGTGGGATCACTGGTGCCATGTCCAGCCATCACTGCGAGAGGCGGGGGACACCTGGACACGTCTCCAGTCCATTTCAAGCGGCGGGTCGGTGTCACCGGCCGCTCAGGGCCAGTGACACCGACCATCTGAGCTTAACGTGGCTTTTTTTTTACCTCTTAATCCGGCCGGTCGGACCTGCCTCCTCCACAAGTAGATGAACACCATTTCTTATTGTGCATGCTTCAGTTTTCTTTGTGCCGATTGGTAAAACCACGTCAAAGCCTGAGACCGCCCTGGACCGCACATTAAACGTGATGTGGAGCGGCCCGGTCGTGACAACGCAGCGTGCTAACATCGGGTCCAGAACACGTTTGTAAAGCTCAGTCTCAGACTCTGGTCATCCCGTGCGAATGCGCCACATGAAAAGCAGACTGACACTGGTGCGTATCGGGCTTTAGAGATACGTGAAACGTTTTCTTTCAGCTGCGCCCCACTTCAGGGTTGAACCGAGTCACACGGAGACTTGTGATTATTTTAACATCTTCCTGACAGAACCACAGACACCGAGCTACCGCGGCCCTCTGTGGAGCAGAGCTGCTGTCTGGGGCACCCGGGGAGCAGATGCTGGGGGTTAAGGGTCTTGCTCAAGGGTCCAGAACGGGGCAAATGAGGGTGGAGGCAGGTGTGGCTGCTTCACCTACCCCACCCACATTTTGATGTTGTCGGCACCGGGAGTTGAACCAACGATCTTATCACAGGCCCATCTTCTCTAACCTCTGTGCCATTAAACAGCAGCCCGCACATGAGTCTGTAGTGAGCAGAAGGGTATGACTACAGCAGCACAAAGGCAAGAGATCAGCAGCATGGATAATCAGCAGCATGGATAATCAGCAGGTAATCAGGTTGATCAGTCTGAGAAAACAGTCTGAAGCAGTGGAACAATTTCAAAATAAAGGTCCTCAGTGTAAGCTTCAAAATAAACTAAATTATTTTGACTGAAAGTTCTTTAGTTTGAACATTCGATGTGTTCAAGTAAGTTTCCATCAAATCTGTGATGTTCTTCATGAAAGATGATCGTCCAGAGGACTGGAGACATGTCCAGGTGTCCCTGGCGTGAGCTCGGTTCTGATCCGTGCACGTCGACGCAGTTCATTTATGAAAATAAAGGTTTGTAATCTGATCGCGATGGTTTGAACGCACGTTCGATGGTCTGAAGAGAACCTGGAAGTGGACTCGGACCAGAACCAACTGATGAGACGTAAAGATTCAACGACCGTTGGGAAGCAGACAACTCGTTTATGTTTGTAGTTTTTCTCTGAGTGTTTACAAGTAAACAGGAAGTTGATCAGAGCCAGCTGGCTCTGGGTTTCCTGTAGAACCCTGACCCGGTTTGTTGAGGTGTTTGTGTTTAGCTCCTGCGTCCTGCTGTGGGTTTTTTTACCTCAGAGTGAAGACAATAAACGGATCTGTTCCAGCATTTATTTGTTTGTTTGTTTGTTTGTTTACAGGACGGTAGAACAGGTTCAGATATGTACAGGTCGGTTCTGAGCTTCAGGTTCTGCTCAGCTGAGCAGAGACAAGTCAAAGTTGCTGAAGAGTTCCTGCTGCTCGGTGGTGAGGACGCAGGGCGTCCGCGGGGGGGTCAGCACCGGTTGCAGGCTGGTGAACTCCTCGTCGAAGTTGCTGACGTCCTGCGGGGTTCTGATCACCGGCTGAAAGGGGGGCTTCACCTTCTTGGCCAGCAGAGCGTCCCAGTCCATCCCCTGAGCCACCGCACAGAAATGCAAAGAGCAGGAATTGATTTTTAATGTCACTAAATGAGAATCAGTCCAGTTGCTTCCATCAGACCCAGGATGTCCTCCACAGTACAGTTCTGTTGGGTCCATTAATAAATAAAGTCTGAACCAAATCGGATCAGGAAACTTGATCTGACCTGAAAGTATCGGTGCTGCTTGATGGCCGAGGCATCCTCCTCTCCGGAGCCCAGCCTTCGGTCCGGATCTTTCTGCAGCAGCTGTAACACAGAACCTTTGTGTTTAAGAGTCGCGGTGAAGACAACCTGTGAAGACGTCACCTGTGTCCAAACGCACCTGTTGAATTAAAGAGGCCGCCTCCGGAGAGAGGAAACGAGGGCGACGCACGTCATCGTTCACGATGCTGTCAAACACTTCCTCCTCATCGTCCCCAGGGAACGGAGACTGGACACACGAGAAGTTTCATTACAACCTTAGTGTCAGCTAAGAGTCCAGGTGGTTCTGACTCCGTTCACTTCATACGGACCTCCCCCACCAGCATCTCATAGACCAGGACCCCCAGCCCCCACCAGTCCACACTGCGGGTGTAGCTGTTGTCTGTCAGCACCTCCGGAGCCAGAAACTCTGGTGTTCCACAGAAGGTGGTGGTCCGATCCCCGTGACCCATTCCTGAACACAAATACTGAAATATTAGTACACAGTCGTTTTGTATCAGAGTGTAACCCGGTGAGTTTTAGGACCCTGATATTCCTGTGGTCCCCCTGGTGTCAGACATGCACAGTTTACTTGAACAGATCTCTAACGATGACTTTAAATTTATTAAGCTTTAATGAGAAGAAGACCGAAGTCATGTTGTTCCTCCTAATGGCCCGATCAAGAACCACGTTATCGACCTCCGAGAAACAAAGTCACTAATCTGGGAGTGATGATGGGCCCTTCCATGAAACAACAGTCATGATTGTTAAATCCCGTGTTGTTTCGGCTGAGGCGACTCTAAACTGAAGCCCATACTGTCCAGAGATAACCTTGAGACAGTAAACCATGCGTTCATAACATCCAGGCTCCATTACTGCAATGTGCTTCTGTTTGGTATCAGATCTCCACTGCACGACTACCACTGGTCCAAAATACTGCTGCTCGATTTCTAACTGGTACAGGCAAATGAGCACATTTCTCCAGTTTTGGCCTCCCTGCACTGGCTCCCAGTTCACTTTCTAATTCAGTTCAAAATCCTTCTGTATGTTTTTAAATATCTGAACAGTTCTGCCCCCACTTATCTGCTGCAGCCATATGTGCCACAGCGCTCTCCAAGGTCAGGAACCCAGCTCAGAGGTGACAGGGCTGTGGCAGGTCCAAGACTGTGGAATGAGTTGCCACCACATGTCAGGCAGGCTCCTCACTCACTGTTTTTAAGTCTCACTTAAAAACCCACTTTTATTCCCTGGCTTTTGACACAGTGATTTGTTTTTAATTAATTTTAATCTCATTAGAATGATTTGTTCAATTATCTTTGTTGAGATCTAGTATAGAGCTGTATGAACGGGTAAATGAGGACACAGATTGTTGTGTGAAGCACTTTGAGTATCTCAATAAGATAGAAAGGCGCTATATAAGTACAATCCATTTACCATTCATCCTCTTCCCTATTTAAAAAGTGTCCCTTCAAGTCTGTATTTATCATTATTGTTCTCTTTCGTTTATTTATCATACACAGTCATCTGATTTAAAATTGTGAGCCAGGCTCCTCTGTTTTCTGCTACAGACTCTAAACTTCACTAATGGATCTGTTGTGTTCCAGTATACAGACATTTGCCCCACAGAGGGAAGTAAAGACACCAAAGTATTTGTAGTAATACTAAATGGTATCTCCACTACTTATCCAGACTGGGAATTTGATACCATCCTAGGCCATGTCCTGACATTACTACAGCCACCACCACCCGATTAGCAAACCACTAAGACTGAGTAAAAATGAGTGCACTTTGAACATCATTCAATTCAGTTCAATTCAAAACTACTTTATTAATCCCAAAGCAGATCAGGCTGGATTGTGTTAAATGCACTGGAGAAATCAAAGAACACGACTCTCACAGTGCTGTCTGCCTTTTCTAGATGACAGTGAGTTTGCTGAAGCAGGTGTATGATGGCATCTTCAACTCCAAGTCCACGCTGATAAGCAAACTGCAGTGGGTCCTGATATGTGCTTGCTTGTCTAGTCAGGCGGGTCAGCAGAAGTCTCTCTAGGACCTTCATGATGTGGGATGTCAGGGCAACAGGTCTATAGTCATTGAGGACTGATGGGTGAGGTTTCTTTGGTACTGGAACAAGACAGGAGGTTCTCCACAACACTGGAACCTTCTCCTGGGTCAGGCTAAGGTTGAAGAGGTGCTGCAGAACCCACAGAGCTGCTCTGCACAGACCTTCAGGACTCTGGAACTGACACCATCTGGACCTGCAGCCTTATTCCATTCAGTTCAGTCTTCAGTCTCTCCAGCTGCTTCCTCACCTGACTTTTCGAGTCGCAGAGGGGGAGGCAAAGGAGGTATCAGATCTGATTTGGTTGAAGACCAACATGTAGAAGAAGGGTCCATGACTGAGGCGGTAGATACAGTATTTGAGGTGTGACAGGACAGTCTTGAGTCAATGGAGGGTGGTATGTCTGTTTGGCTGTGGGCAAGAGAGGAGGATGCTGAGCTTGTTCCTGAACTGAACCTATTGAAGAATGTGTTCAGTTCATTGGCTCTGTCCAGGCTTCCATCCTTCTGATCCTCCTTCTGCTTGAAGCCTGTGATCTGTTTCATCCCTGACCACACCTCTCTGATATTGTTCTGTTGGAGCTTGCTCTCCAGCTTTTTCTTGTACACCTCCTTGCTGTTTCTGATCTTGACTGTTAGTTGCTTCTGTGTTCTCTTCAATAATTCCCTGTCTCCCTCCCTGAAGACTCTTTTTTTTCCTGGTTTAGCAGTTCCTTCAGGTCAGTGGTGATCCAGGGTTTGTTATTTGGGGAAGCATCTCTGTTCTGGTGGGGATGGTGTTGTTTACACAGAAGTTTATATAGTCAGTCACACACTCAGTCATGGCATTGATTTCCTCTCCATGTGGCTGGCACAGTGCATCCCAGTCTGTAGGCTCAAAACAACCCCGCAGGGCTTCTTCAGCTTTGGTTGACCATTTTCTCACTGTTCTCTTTATTGCAGGTTGCCTCTGAACAAGGGGTTTATATTTTGAGCAGAGAAACACAAGACTGTGATCTGATTTGCCAAGAGGGGTTCTTGCTTTAGCGATGTATGAATCCTTGACATGTGCATAAAACAAGTCCAGCGTTTTGTTTTCTCTGGTAGAGCTGCTGACAAACTGTTGGAATGTCGGAAGTGTAGCAGAGAGTGAGACATGATTAAAATCCCCAGATGTTGCAACAAACGCACTAGGGTGTTGTGTCTGTAGCTTAGCAACTTCGGAGCTGATGACATCACACGCAGTCTCTGCAACAGCATTGGGTGGAATGTAAACAGTTGCCAAAATAACACTGGTGAACTCTCTTGGCAAATAATATGGATGACAACTTACAACAGTTAGTGATAGTGTACCTAGTGTACTTGTTTAGCAACGTGGTGACCAATGGTGTCAGAAGCATTTGTAATGTGAGGGGACACAGTGGTGGGGGGGTGTGGGGGTCCTCCCACAGAAATTTTTGAAAAAGTAGATGCCATTTCCTGCATTCTGGTGTATTTTAACAGGTTGTTAAACATCTAGGTTTTACCTACACAAGTAACACTTGATTCAATAAGCTCTCAACCTTGAGCTCTCTAAGGGACTTTAAACATCTGCTAAGTTCATTTGCAAAAATCAATGCAGACATGTTCCTGTTTTTAGTATTTTATATATCTTTATAGTGTAGCTGTTTGTTTTTATATCATTTCTTTCATTTACTTTTTATTTTTGAGTCTTGACTTTTTTTTTTTTTTCAGTTTTTATATTTTGAGTTCCTGAGGCTCAATGGGATTAACCTGTATAAATAAATGCTGAATTAACAAGTTAATTTTACATGCTTTTTATGATTGTCTACTGTTGTCATCTGTGTTCTTTGTTTAAAACAGGTCTCTCTTGTAAATTCTTGAGGATCGATGACACTAACCTGTAGAAATAAAGGTTGAATTGAAATAACTATTTTAGAGTTAATGGCACAACAAGAAGTAGCCTGACCAACAGCTCTCCTTGTGTGAAAAGACATTTGTAAGGTCAAGAGACAAACATGTAGCATTAACACAGTATGAACAATATTCAGGAATTGTTTCTATAAGAACATTATCAAATATTTCACGTAAATGGTAAGATAGCTCCGCCCACGAGGAAATGTAACACAGTGTGAGCTAACCTCAGACAAACAAACAAAGATAGCTGTAATGGAGGTAGTGAAGCTCACTGTGTTTAGTGAGACGGCTGCAGAGTTTTCACCAGAGTGTTTCTGTCTTATCCAACAAAGTTCAGTCAGGCCCTCTGGACAGTTTCTACCTCCAGAAACCGTCCAGAGGACCTGACTGAACTTTGTTGGATTTTTCTACCTGGATTATTGAGTATGATGTGTCTGTTTTACCTGCTCCATTACAAACAAAAATTAATTTGCTTTTCTCTTTTTCATTATCTCTCGCTCCATCCTACAAGTTTTAAGACCCAAACTGGAGAAACATACAGACATGCACGCTCCACGTGCGAACATATAACCCTCTCGCGCCAGTCCACCGGGGCGGGTGCGCAATCTGTGTGTCTCTGCTCTGCTCAGTCTGCTGACAGACAGCCTCAGAGAGAGGAGGGGCGGGGCCTGAGACCTGAGTGAGCCCGGAGCAAGAGCGTCTTGTTTATTTAAAATAATCAAGCACGACCCGAACCGAGCCTTTAGTCCAGTCCCAGGTACTGAGCAGAACCAGGCCACCGGGAAAAGTCCCAGCACTCCCGATGGAGAGTCCGCCCCTGTCCGGGGCTATTGACAAAACATCCGGGGCTTTAGGCCCGGAAGCCCTGGTCTAACAACGTGCCTGGGAAGCATCTTGGCTAGGTGTTTTGAAACCCTTGGAGCTGGAACTGGATTTCTCCCTGACAAGGGAGATGGCGAGCCGCCCTTGAGAACCCTTGAACCAAGCTGGACCAGCCTTTTCGGCCTGTGGAGAACAGGTTGTTCTCCCACCAGCAGCTGTGTGGAAGTGCCGTGCCATACCCCTCTATAGACTGACTGATCTGGAGCACCTTGGATTGACATAATGACTAAATCCGGCAGGACTAAAACTATATAACTTCCTGGGAATCACCATAGCAACCAGAAAAAGAAGCAGAAGGTTAAAAACTTTTCTATGAAGTAAGGAGTTTGGCTTCTTTGAACAAAAACAAAACATAAAAGTTTACCTTCTTTGCACAAACCAAAATCTGCAATTCTGATGTATCCGTCAGCATCCATGATCAGATTATCCAGCTTCAGATCTCTGACAGATGGTAAAACAGGAGAAGTGAAGCAGCAGTACTCTTCAGAACTGGACTAAAGGCAGCTTAAAATTGTCTCACCTGTAGATGATTTGGTTCTCATGGAGGAACTCCAGGCCGAGCAGCACACACGATGAGTAAAACCTTCAAACACAGAAGATGAGAAGGTCAGATGGGGACATCCAGTTTGCACCTGGTGGTGCTCTGGTGTTCTGTACCGGGCCTGTTTCTCAGTGAAGATGCTGGTATGGATGTGCTTCATCAGGTCTCCTCCTGGAGAGTAGACCATCACGAAGCACACGTGGTCTTCTGTCTGGAAGCTGCCATGGAGGTTCACCAGGAACGGGTGGCGGGCTGCATTGATCACTTCAAAGATCCGCTTCTCACACATGAGGCTGCACACAAACACCAGCAGAACCTTTAAACAAGGTTCTCCAGAACCAGAAGATTCTGCTTTTGAACTCAACGTTTGTGTTGTTTTGAACAGACAGAGCAGCTGAAGGAACGGCTGAAGAAGCGATGGGACTATATCTCATGTTCACAGTTATTCTGTAGGTTTAAGAAACTGACCTGATCCGGTTGATCGATCATTATAACCTTGGATCAGAGCCGTTTGATGTCACCTGCTGATGGAAGGGCTCACCTGTCCACTTCTTCTCGGGTCACCACGTCACCTTTCTTCAGAGCCTTGATGGCGAACAGTTTCCCCGACTTCTTGTATTCAGCCAGCAGAACCTTGGGTCAGATTCAAAAGAGACGACATGACTCATGGATCAGGTTCTCACAAATAAGTTATGTTCCAGCTGGTACCTTCCCAAAGTGGCCTCGGCCCAGAACTGACAGGCACTGAAAGTCCTCCATCTTCAGGTTTTCCGTCCTGCCGGAGAACAAATGTTAACTTTCATCTGAGCGGAACGTTCTAATCAAAGAGAACCCAACAGCTTCTCTGAGTGAATGTGTAAACATTCACATCATCTGACTGAAACCAGGACGACGGCGGATTGGTCAGAACTTACTGTGGACGAGGTTGGACAGACGGTTGTCTCCCGGGTTTAAAACTTCGGTTCTGATCAGGAGACTTTGAGAAAAACAGAGAAACATCAGGAAGTATTTGTTAGAACCTTCACTTGGAGAACCACCCTGTCAGCAGGTTGCGGACATGAATCTTGTTTTACCAACACAGAGTCTTTAAAGTCCCTCCTTGAGTGACGTGGCGATCTGACTGAAGGTTCCTCTGGAAAGTTCAACCTCAGAACTGGAGAGTCTCTGAGAAACAAAACCAGATCATCAGAACATTTTTTTCAGTGGGTCAGCTGCTTCACCGTTAGTGAGGATTACCGGTATTTATCATTAAACAACAAGTTGGGGGAGGAACAAGATGGCAACCAAGGAGTAGAGTCGTATTAGCTTGGGCTCCCACCAGTACTGCCTGAAAAGAGCCTTTTGAGAAGATTTTCTCGCTACTTTTATGTTAAATGCTCCAATATTCAACATTCTTGTGTGACTGACTCGACAAAGCTGAAGGTATGGTGACAAAATTGAAGAAATATAAGTATACAGGATCTGTGGCCGCTGAGCCCGACACCGCCTTGGGCTACAGTACTTCTAAAGCTGGGGACTCGGCTCCTCCCCCACCAGGTCCTTGAGAGACAGAGGTGTTGGCCCTGAAGGTGGACATTCTGGCTTCAATAAAAGCAGAAATTTTAATTAAATCAGAACTGAAAGCTGCCCTCAGAGGACCTCTCCTTTATTAAGAGTGAACTTCAAGCAGTGAGAGCAGAGAAGGCTAGCGGCACCACGGCACTCCGAGCCGAATTGGACCAGGTTAAATTGAGTGTTAAACTTGTTGAAGACGGGCTTTCTACCTGGTCGGAAGAGGTTGAGGCTCTGCACAGCACCGTGAGGGAACTGAAAGATGAGATAAATGGTCTGGAAAAGAAATGTGAAGACGTGGAGGGACATATAAGGTGCAATGTGAAGGTCATAGGAGTCCCTGCGACACCGGAGTCGAGTTCCACCATAGCAGTCGCTAAACTGCTCACAAAGTCACTGCAGCTGGACAAGGCACTGCTGATTGACAGCTTGCACTAAACGCCAGGTGGGAAGAAGTCAGGTGATAAGCAGAGAGTTATTGTAGCTAAACTGCACTACTACCAAAACTGTGTGGGTGGAAATATTACTGTGTGCGCGCAGTCATGGCCCACTCTGCTTCAAGGATTCACCGATCATCATTACTGCAGATTATGCACAGAGCATGGCCAGGGCTCGGGCGGCGTTCACAGAGGTGAGGCGGCTTCTTTGTGGCCTGCGAGATGTTCGCTAGGGGCTACTTTTTCCTGCATGGCTTTGTATCACTCACGGTGGGGTGGACAAGGAGTTTGTGGACTCTGATAAAGCCATGGTTTATGTCAAAAAGAGTATCATCTCAGCAATGGGTAGTGAGGACGGGAAAAGACTGTAGGGCTGGCTTCCCTTAATCAGCATTCTTTTCAAGTTAGATTGGCCTACACCAATTGCTTATTTGTTCCGCTTTATATTTTGTTATATTTTTCAATGTCATGCCTTGTTCCAGGGAAACATTTTTATTTTCAGGTTTATGTTTGACTAAATATTTGGCTGTTTGGACTTTTGATGGGGTTATGTCCTACATTTCACTTATATTGGAAGATGACTGTATGGGCATCAGCATTTTGAATTGAGAAATTCACCGTGTTTGCAGTTTGGAGGATGATGGGACAGAGTCACGTCTGTGTTTTCCGTCTGCTAGCTTGGAACTACATTGCTGCTGTTTTTTTAATCAATGGGGGCTCACATCTGTGTTTAATGCAAACAATGCTGCCGATAATTGTTGACGGGAGTGGGGTGGGGGTAGCGGAGCGGTAAGTTAGTAGCATTTTTGCTAGCGTGTTTGTGTTGCACCCCGCACTACATAAATACAGACAGTTGTTGGGGGGGTGGGTTCAGTAGGTAGGGCATTTGGTTCTGTGAGAACCACCACTTAAAGAAACTGGTCCAGTTCTTACATCTAAAATTGAAATTTTCCTCGAAGTTAACCAAACATCAGGAATGCCACTCTACTGTCTGGGAGGCATTAAAGGCCTACCTGAGGGGTCAAATAATTTTAAAACAGACAACAGATGAGATACTACAATTAGACAAAGAATATAGTCACTCCCCCTCACAGGATCTAATGAATAAAAGTTTGTTGCTTCAAACTGAATTTAATACTTTGTCTGCTCAGCGGTCAGAGTAGTTAATCTCTAAATCTAGACAGGGTTACTATGAACACGGTGAAAAGGCTGGGCGTTTGCTTGCACACCAGTTCTATTTCTTGTGGGCTTGCCCTTTAAGCCACGCCCTAATGGGTACCCCCTCACGCGCAGCGCGCCAACACTGAAAACATAAGTCCACTGTGTGGGCCCCACCCTAGACCGCATAAATAGCCTGCGAGTCCGTGGCTCGGCTCCCCTTTTTCTTCAGCCAGCGAACACTGGGCTTACTAAAAAGCAAAGAATGTCCTCCAGCGAAATGATCCGTCTCTGCCAGGGATGCAGCTCAGGCTACATCTTTTCATTGGACCTGCATATCATTTGTGAAGGCTGCCTCGGGGCTTCCCACGCCCACCAAGCCATGATGTCACAGGCTTCCTGCCCATCCTTCAGACTTCTCCTGGCAGAAGAGAAGCAGCGCCGGATGGGGCTTTTCACCTCCTTTCTAGCAGAACCAGCAGAGACTAACCCACTGGACAAGTTCCTGGACTTCCTTCACGCAAGGCATGACTCAGACATGTCTGCCTCTGAAATGGAGATGGCCAGCAGCCTTAGTCCTTCCTCTCGGATGAGAGAGACAGAGATGGAACTGCTGTCGACGAGAGGGTCCTAAGACCTCCAAATATCCTCAGTCACCCTCCTCCTGGCAATAGGTGCGCTTGCCACGTGCTGCCAGAAATCATCCAGAAAGTGGTGGTGGCATGCGACCTGTCCATTCCCAGTCAGGCAGTGCCGCTGCCCTCCAACCTCTTGGCAGGAAGATTTGCCGCCCAGTAGCCCAGCCACCGGGACCCAGTCTGGCCTCCTTTCCTGGCAGTTTCATTGTTTTTGGCAGATTCCTCCTCGGAACTGCTGAAACTGAAAGCACCCATCTCCACCTACGTGCCCATCACAAAGGTGGAGGGGCTGATGGACCATGGTTTCCTGACCGTTCCACCACTGGAGCCCAGCATGTCATCTGTGTTCTGGGTGAGAGTGGCACGATACGTCGGATGGCATATCATTCCTCCATCCCCAAGTGACTAACTGACCGCAAGGCTCACTGACAGGATCCATCAGTGCACATCGCAGATAGTGGCAGCGATGAACAACGTGGCGATGCTAGCTCATAGCATCTCCCAAAAAGCCAAGCAGCGAACTTCTCTGCTGCAGACTTGAACGAGTTCTACACCATGGCTGACACCATCACAAACATGTGCGCTGCACAGGCAGGCTGCTCTGCCCACATTTTGTCCTGGGCAACAGTGCTGCAGAAGCATATGTGGTTGAGAATCTCTTCGTTCATCCCGACAAGATTAAAAAAAAAAAAAGCTGCTGGAGGGTCCGATTAGTCTGGATGGACTTTTCAGGCCTCAGTTCCAATCTGTTTTGGACCAGCTTCAATCCTCCTCAGATGCCCTGGAACAGGTCAGACGACACGTGACCCGGCCTTGCACGGACCCCCGCTCCCTCCGGACGGCTGGATGCTGGCAGGAACCCAGACACCAGCGCCAGCAGCAGAGATGCTCCACAGACGTAGCTACATCCTGGGGTCCCCTGGCTGCCACTGCACCCAGAGGACAACCTCCAGGATCTCCACAGTGAACCGGTACGGGCAGAGGTCGTCGACTGGCATGTTCCTGGTCCAATCCACTCCAGGAGCCACAGAGACGACAACAAAAGAAATTGTTTCGCGGGGGATGTGTGTGACAGTGTTTGTTAAAGTTTTTAAATAAAACAAACTTTACTCAAAGAGCAGAATCCTCCATTCAGACAGGCAGAACTGCCCTGTCAATCCTCTTTTTCACACATCCTCTACTCCGGGTCGAAAGGTAAATTTTAAACAAGTGTTTAAAATAAACCAATTCTCCATTCATCATGCACAGAAACCATATGAGCTCATGGTGACAGCACGTGCTTCCCATGCGGACATTTTCCCTCTTCCTTCAGCCTCTGCATTTCACCTGACAGTGGAAAAGGGGGCTGGGGATGAGTGCTCGAAGACTCTTGGAGGGAAGATAATCTTTAGGCATTCATCTAAAAGATGCCAAACCCCCTCTAACTTCATGCAGTCCAGCTATGAACCTGTTGTAAGGACGTCTGTCCTGCTCGGGGGCTCTTCTCCTCACCCGTCGGCTCCCACACCTCACCCAACGGTGCAGGAAGGTGAAGAAGATGAGCCTCCTAAGCATCACTCGTTTTACTCACCGGCTCACCCCACACAACCTCCTCATCCATCCACAGACGCGAGTCAGTGTGGGTGCGACAGGCAGTCCTTTCACTGCAAGCCCCCCATGGGTCCACGCAGAACCTTTAATTCTGCAGTTGACAGCAGCAGGGGCCTGTCTTTTTCCACGCAGGGCACAAATCGCTCATGCGCGGCCTCTCTCAGAGCGCAACTCCACGTGGATACATTTGTGTCAGATGACAAAATGGATGTACCAGGGCCACATGCTGCACTTTTCAGGCGCTCCCTTGAGGTTCAGCAGGGTTCTGGAAACCCGGTTAACATCCCCAGAACAGGACCGAGTTTTACAGACAGAGCTGATGGAGATTCTGATGAAAAATGTGATTTCAGAAGTCTCTCCCAAGGAGGAAGAAAACAGATTTTACTCACGGTACTTCCTGGTTCTGAAAAAATCAGGAGGTTCGAGGCCCATCCTAGACCTGTCCTCTTTCAAAAACATATTGTGGAGTGACCGTTTCATATGTTGACAATAAAATGTGTGCTCGAATGCGTCAGGCAGGTGGACTGGTTCACCTCAGTGGATTTGAAAGATGCATATTTTTATATCTCAATAATAAAGTAAAACAGGAAATTCCTGCGCTTCTCCTTCCAGGGAGTTCGGTACCAATACAACCGGCTTCCCTTCGGCTACTCGCTCACCCCGCATACATTCTCGAAGTGTGTGGAAATGGCACTGCAACCGCTGCGCACAGTGGGGATGAGGGTTCTCTTTTACCTGGGCAATCTGCTTCTCCTGACCCAGTCCAGAGAGGAAGCGGAGACCCAGACAA